TAGGTACACAATACTGGTTAGGCAAGTGAGCTGCAATTCTTTCTGTGATGATACAGAAATCCAGCGGCTGGTAGGCTTAGAAGAAGGATTAATCCATAAATATGAATTGGCTCTGTTAATGGTAAGACAGCTACCATGACAATTTGGGGTGAATTCATCTCTTGTGCAAGTCATCAGGAGGCTCTAGGGAGAGTGTTCTCCAGGGAAGTATGGGTGCCTCTACATCTGAGGGGAAGGAAATGGCCCGCAGCTTAGTGCTGGTATTTAAAGGCAAGGTCTTATGTTTGAAAGGTCCAGCTGTGCAAAAAAACCTGCTGAGCTCAGTTTAGGGCAAAAGAAGGAAAATTTGTCATCTCTGCATTTGAGTTCAGGCTTCACACTGCAGTCATGGGAATAGAATTAGAAAAGAGAAGCCTGATTTTTCCCTGCCTTGGACCCTCTGATATCAATCCCATTTGCCAAGCAAGTGCATGCTCTAGCTGCAGCAGATGATGAAATCGGATTGGCAGTGTGCTGTGCTCACACAATGGGAGCCTAAATGCCAGCGCAAAAGGCACAACAAAATAAAGTCCAGTTTGAACCGTGAGGGAAAGAAGTGCTGAATCAATGGTTTAGATCTGGCTGAGATGACTGTGAGGTCTAAAAGAAGGCTTGGCTTTGGTCCTGATAGCACCAAGCCCTTCTCTGCATTATTGGGCAGACTGCTACTCAACACAGAGCTAGGTCCTGTAGCAACAGGGTACAGGTTTTTATTAATGTTCCCTACGACAACTCATTCCTTCCCTAGAACAGAGAAAAGAAGTCAGACATAGCTTGCACATGAAACTTTACACTGTTTCCAGGAAAATGGGAATTGGACACAAATGCTACATTTTGCCACTCAGCTGTGGAGAAAGCCAAGAATAATGATGTCTCAGATACCTCATCGTCCTGCAAGTCCTCCTCCAGCTGGAGAATATCCTTCAGTGTGGCTGCAACCACCTTCTTCCTCTTGCGAATGAAATCCTGTTCCTGGGCACACAGGTCAAACCCCAGCCGTACGTCTAGGTCTTCCTGGCTGGAGCAGAGGATCAGGTACCTCACATCACATTTATAGTATAATTCAGCATTTTAATTACTTCTACTTCATAAATAGTCATGCCTTCACCATCAGGTCTATATAAAGCGAAGCGGGAAGAGGTGAAATGTTTTAGTTTGTTCCTGGAGAATAATGGTACTCCTTCCCTTGGACTGAGAGGGTTTCTTCTGTTTTTTTTTTTCTCCTTGATGGAGATGCCTGAAATTCAATATAGCTACAAGTAACAGAGTTGTTCCCTTTCAGACATAAAGCCAAAAGCCTGCAGATGGCAGTGTTTTAAAGGTGGCTTTTAAATGCACCTCCAAAAATTGAGCAAACTTCCACTGATACCTGCGAATCATGGACTGAAGTTGTGGACTTAGGTGTTTGGATGTTTTTTTGTGGGCGTATATAGTAATTTATGGATATCTAGAAGGACTCTAGCTTCAGTTTGGAAGCTGCTGTGAAAATCTTTCTTAGGGTGTGCTAAGAAATAAGTTTTTAAATGACAGCTGTAATCTGTATGTCTACCACATAGCATATTTACTGAAAATAAACAGCATGGTAGAAGATGCACCTGCTTTTGTAAGGGAAGAAAACTTCCTACATCATGTAACATATTCATCTTATAAATTCTACTAAGTAAGTCCTTAACCATGTCTCAAAATACACACATGTTTCCTTGGTTTAGAAATAAACAATCACTTGATTGAGTTAATTTGCATTTATCTCTTTGAGTAGACATTAAAAAATAAATGCAGGAACATTTATTATTGCAGGTTTTTTCATATCCTAGAGTGACCACTATGAGTTTGGTCTTTTTTTTTTTTTTTTTCTGACCTTGGGAAACAGAAAGGTTTCTTTCAATTAGTTTTGAAATGCTGCTTTTATTGAAAATCCACATTTGGCAATTATTTGTAGAGGTATCAAGGAGTGTCTACAGTGGCCCTTAGCACATAATTTTGACCGCAGCAAAATATCAATAGAAAATTGGTGTGTTCTTTATAAAACCTTTTCTTAACTCACTGTATAGTCCCATTGCATAAACCCACAGAGGCTGAAAATATCTGTATTGTGTACTGAGTCCATTTTATTTTGTAGTCTGAGATGAGGATGAGCCAGCATTTGGGATGCGGGCAGTAACAAAGGAATTGGAGCTTGACTGACAATTATCCAAATTCAAAGAACCGAGCTGAAAAATACAGAAGGAAGATAAATAAGATGTCTTACCACTTTTTCACCTTTAAGTGCAAATCAAATTTTCTGTGCTGAAAATTAAAAAGGTAAAATTATTAATATTGATATTTTGCTTAAAACAGTCCTTTCCCCCACTCAGAATGAGACTCTTTTGTGTCATCATTACATCTACGAAGCTTTGAACTTCAGTAAACTGAGATTGGGATAGAGACTCTCCCCTCAATGTTTCATTAGTACCCAGAGATGTGCACCGATTTAATAAATTAAGACTTCAGTATTATCATCTATAGTCTGCATCTTCTTACTGCTGTGAAACTCAGGTGTAGCTTGCACTGGTACCACTTAGCTACACAAATAAATAGCAGAAAAGCTGCAGTGCTGCACCTCACTGCCCTCCTGGAGGGGTCAACCAGTAAACACAGGTCTCAAAACTGAAGTCTCTCACACAACAACATGAGATACAAGGGGAAGCCACAGAGGCTGAGCACCCCATAAGGGTGGCAGTGTGCCAGGCTGCAACCTCACCCCTCTGTCCCGGTGGCACCCAGTGACCCCCAGCCTGGCTAAGGACACAGGCAATAGAAGGAGCATGAGCGACGGCTTAGACATTTTTCTTCCTCCTTCTCCCCCGAATTTTCCATTTTATTATGGTCCAAATACTTTACTTCATTATGCATTGACCTAGATTTGAGGGAGGTTAGAAAACAACCGGGTCTGTATAAAGAGAGGTGGTCTTCAGTTTCTGCTCCTTGGGAACGAGCAACAATTTTTAAAATCTTGCAAAGGATTCCCCATGGCCAGCTGACTCTTACCTCGCTGACTACTTCCCGCTTGGAGGGGAGCGACTTCAGAGGGAGAGTCAGGGGGATGTCTCTGCTCCTTCTCCCTCCGCGTGACACGCAAGCACACTGAAAAGGAGCACAGAGTGCTTTTTGGTTAAGGCAGAAATGCTCTCCTCTTGCTACCTACACACACGTAAAGGTCAGACCATAGGACTGTGTTGTCTACCGTGTTCTGGGGTAACGTACAAAGGTGGGAAGCCTCCTCTTCTTTGTGAGTACAACATCCAGGGAGGGTTGCTTGTATTTGGCGTAGTGGAAGAAAGTGGGATCTGGGAGAGGGGAGCGGGAGTCGCAGCCCACTGAAACTCTCTGGGTTTCTTCAAAGGATCCTCTCACTGTAAAAGTTAGCTCGTTCTCTAAAACAATGAGATAAAATGCACACAAAAACTTATTTCTAATTGCAAAAAAGAGAGAAAGGGAAAAAAGGGAGAAAAAGGTAGCTTTGAACAAACCCCTCCTCCTTTTCCTTTGTATTTGGAAAGCTGTCTTCTGAAAGTGATCCAAGACCCAAACATTACAGGTGGTTGGATCTTTATAATGGGCTGAACAAGAAGCTGGATGGGAGCACAATGTGAATGGTACTGAATTTTAGACTGCTGCATTTCTACTGTGGTTGCATCATGACACAGTGAATGCAACCAGGTACTTTGCATTGTAAATCATCCTTATCCCAGGCCAAATATTGAGCAATAGACGTTCTCAGTCCCTTAAAATAAGATCTGACTCTGCAGCAGATGACCCTATTTGTAGCTAATCCTGCCAGTGTGTGTTATGCATGCTCTAAGATTGCCTACCAGATCCAGCCCCTCACGGGATGTGTGCAGAGGAACTTCTAGATTCTGGATCTTGATCAGGGTCAGGCGGGAGCCAGCTGCTGAGTGGCTAACCCCTGCAAAAAATGAGGTGTTTCTGTGCACATGCAGAAGTCAAACTGGCAGAGATCCTGAGGAAAGTTAAGGCCGTGGACTATGGTACCTAAGGAAATAAGCTTCTTCAGGATTTAGCAGTACTACAGCAGAGGCTTTCAGGATCTCATCTTGGGGTTTAGCTACATTCTGTTCAAGCACCTGATGTTGTTTCTAGTCTGCACAAGGCCCCCCATGAAGACTGAACCCTGAACCTACACCTGCTGCAGAACGGGTGGCGTTTCCTACTGCAAAATTTTTACAAATCGCCTTAGATGTGGTCAATTAAAGCCTTTGTATTTGGATGATGCAATTTCAGGGCATTGTTAGAGAGGGTAAAGTCACTAATATTCAGTTAAAGAATTAATAATCTTACCTGAAAAATGCTTCTTCTTCATCCTGCTGTCCAAGTGAACTTCCAAGCAGGCTACTTCACGACACTAGAATAGACGTGATGGGGACAGAGAATTAGATCACTCATCCAGCCATCTCACCAGCGGTGCTGGCAGATGTTGGAAGGGTCATTGTAGGAAGGGTCACTGCTTGAATGCAGGGGCCAGCTGTGTTGGAGACTTCTGCCAGACCCAGTGAAAGGGAGAATCAACTTCCTCGTTATGTGGGAAGATGGTACTATGCTAAACACATTGTTATTTTCAATGGATGCAGACAAAACAAGGCAAAATTATAGCAGTCGGAGGGCTCCCCTAAGATCATGCTGGCCTCCTCAAAGCTAAAACTTCTAAGAGAAAAAACATCACCAAAGAATGAAGACTTGCAATGTTTCCCTCATTGCCATTGTAGTCAGCTAAGATAAGGAATGATGTGGGAAAGAACACAAGAGAACAAAGGAAAAAATATTTTACCACTATTGCCCCGTTTGTGATGATGGTTTCAGGAGGACCCCGTCTAGAAAACAAGAACAAATAATATGTATTTTATAAACAATATAATCTGAATAATGTCCTGAACAGGACACGTTTTTCTCTCTTAATTTTTTTTTATTTGCTCCTTCCTAACACTCCCTTTTCACTAGATGCCACATAACTACCTAGCGAAAAATGATTCAGTTGCAATAAAGCACCTGGAAAGTGCTTATAACAGCCTTAATAGCACAGGTATGTCACAGATTGGGTAGCAACATTTTCCTCAGCCATGAGCTGCCCAGACAATCCTCTCCAGAAAATCTATAGACTTACTGCAGTGGGATTTACCAGCCCCAGAAAACCAACTCTGAACTATCTAAGTAATATATACATTTTAAGAAAGTCACAGAATTAAAAATTCTGAAATAATCCTCTACATCATGGCATTTTCCTCTCTTACAATGAGTTGCTGATGCACACATTATGCTTGGAAAAAAGGTGAATCTGGCTATTGGAATGACACTGGGTGTACAGAGGGTTTCCCTGCGCTGATGAACCACTCCAAGCTGCTGCTCCCATAGAAATGCACTTTTACTCACATGCTCTCCAATGCAAACTCAACTTCCAGCTCCTCCCTCCCCTGAAAATGAAAGGAAAAAAAAAAAAAAGAAGCAGTCTCAATTAGCATGTGCAGAGGTTTGCAAAGTGACCTTCATTTCTTCAAGCACATTTTCCTCTATGCTTTAATAAGTAACAATCTTCTGTTTCATGCTTGTTATTGTCAGCATTAGAGGACAGAAGCAGCTTTTTCTTCCCCCAAGGAAAAGAAGATCTCAGTTGTACTGGCAGAGCAAAGGGTGCTAGGTGCTTACAAGTCTCCTTAGTAAACCTTTATTTTTCATGCTGTCTTCCCTGCCAGCTTCCATGTGCTGAACATGATATGCTAAGACTTAGTGTTTAGTAAAATATTGTGGAAACAGGCGGTTTCCCTGCCCTTGTATTGTTTTTCTTTTTATAATCTTTGTGAGGATTAGATAAACTCTGCCACTTGCTGTCGGATTATTAAAAGTGCAAAGATTCCTTAAAATTCCGTCTGCCCAGAGGCTTGGGAATTTGGTCGTAACCTGTGCCAGAGGAAACTGACAGGAATTTGAGAAGCCGTCTGTTTTGTCACTGATGTGCAATTTCCAAGAGTTGAATGAAATTTTTTACATTTTCTTACCAACCAGCTGGTCATGGTGGTAAAAGACAGAAGAGCCAGCACACTTCTTTAATCAGAGGGGGAAGAATGGACGTCAAGATGTACTAAATGTCTGATCGAGCTCTTACCTGTGCATT